AACTTTTTTTTAAATCACATCCCTTCTTACCCCTAAAGGAACAATAAAAGTGTTATTTTGGATCACCCTAGTCAGTAGTTTTTTTTGGTGTGCATCTTAGCAGCTAAATATATAATCAAAATAAGATTTAAAAAAAAATATGCCTGTTTTTTTTGTAAGTCAATATGTTAATAAATAATATAATAATATAAAAAGCTGCAATATAAGAAAAAATTTCTTTGAGGACTTTTTGAGAAAAGGACACTTTCGTGGAGCCATATTGATAGAGGTTTAGAATACTGCTATACTCCTCAAAATACTGCTTTTCAGATATGAGCCCCCTCTAAATATTGGGTGCGGAGCAGCTCCATAAACGTAGCTCCGCACCCAATATTTAGAGGGGGCTCATATCTGAAGAACATTTCCGAATTTTTATAAAATCACACAGATACTGCCTGGCTTCCAAGATGCAAAAATAATTTGCATGGGTAGTGTATCTTGAACACCATTTTTTATGAATGCTGGGGACGCAGTATTAAAAGGATAGTCTCAAAATATATAGGTCTGGGAAATGTTTAAGGCATACTGCGTCGCTATAAAATGAATTGCACTACTATTTTCACAATTTTATTGATATTTGGTGTCAAATACACATATCTTGGTATATTTGAAGTCCCAAAACGGCTTAGTTTCAGAAATACCCCAATTTTAAATTCAAAAATGACCGTTAGCTCCGCACCCTCCGCTCATTTGCGCCGCACCCAATATTTCCCACAGCTAGGCTCTGTCTGCATAGGGTGGTAATGGAGATATAACATTGAAATGTTGCGGACTTTATAGGGAATAGAATCAAGATACAGATTTATTTTCTTTATTGGGATTTCTTTTGTTCCATGCTTAGAAAATAGTCGTTCAAACAAATATGGGGGTTAACATGTAAACCTATGAGGAAAACCACTGGTCCTTAACTTTTTTTGAGGAGTATATATTAAAAAATAATTTTTTTTAGAAATGTACCTGTTTGTTTTTGTTGCTTTTTTAGAAACAACATATTAACCAAATAAATCTGCAATATTCACTGGGGGGTATCGTGATGCAACAACACCGTGTTGTTGCATCAAGATGGCCACACTTCCGGTGATAGATTTTCGTACGATATTTTGTTTTCCCAATTTAAACCCATTTCTAGGACGAGTTGCTCAATAATCATACATGTGCAGTTAGCGCATGATCTATATTTTAAAAAACTGTCATTATTATACATGTAGCATCATCAAGAAGCGATATATTCGCGGTTTTAATTCCTCACTATTGATGCAACAACACCACTCTGTTTATTATCGATGATGCAACAACACCAATGTGCTGATGCAAAAACGCCAATATAATGTTTCATTGAATACCAAGAGAAACTGTTTTTAGGTGTTGGTCGGGACATGAATAAAACTCGTTTCAAGTCAGTGGTCCATGAATGAAACGTATTTTGTTTGGTTTCTTAATGCATTTGTCTTCATCAAAGTTAAAAGGATATACAGGACAAACTAAATACATAGGCTAAGTATTGAATCCCCGGGAGCCAACCTCATTGATATTGTATCTGAAAAATAAAGATTATACATTTTCTAAATCAAATGCCCTTGATTTACCGTATGGAAATTGTTTACAAAGAACTAATATAATTATGGAAAGACAAAAGATATCAGTCATTTTGTGTTGTATATCCTTTGTTATCCCCCGGTTATCCCACCCAAAGTATGACGTCATATATCAAGTTGAAAAGTTGTATACGATGACCAGGAGTTGAGTTCGCTATCCAGGAGTTGTACATCGTTCTTAATAGTGTTAGTTTAATGATATTGCAGTTATACAATGGAAAAAAAGAAATTTTGAGGCCCATTTTCTTCAAAATTTGGCCTGAAATTAAAAAAATAAGGCCCTAAAAGGCCCAGTAATGACCAAAAAGGCCCACTTTCTGGGGCCTTAAGGCCATTTTTGGTGCAATTTTTTCTGAGCCCACCGGGGGGGGGGGGGGCAGGCCAAAAGCCCCCCCCTCCAGATCCGCCAGTGGAGGTGATATTGATATCTGCACGAGAGAGCAAAGCGAATGAGTGCATATATCAATATCACCGAGTAGATTAAAATGATATTCTAAAAAATAGTATGTTCTCATTATCCTACACTTACAAGGAGTGTGCTAAATGTATAATAACATTGAAAATGAATTTCATGCCAAATAGAGTTAATTTGGCGGGAAATCAACAAGCGGAGTATATCGTCACAATATCCTCCGCATATTGGATTTTCCAGAGTAATATCGTTACGATATCCTCCGCATATTGGTTTTCCGAAATATATCGTGGCGATATCCTCCGGTTATTCATTTTGCCAATTAGATATGAAATTCATTTTTAATGTTATTATACATTAAGCACACTAAGTATAGGATAAAATATGATATTCCCCGAGGGCCCGGGGGAATCTGGGATTTTACCTTTTTTGGGCCCTAAATCCTATCACTTTTGTTTACCTTTTTACTCAGTCGGAGAGAACGAATCCAAAGAGAGCAATACTTCTACATGTGCGCCGTGCAAGATTTTCATAAAACGTGTAACTACACCTCCCTAATAAAGTCAATTAGACGTTTTTACACGCTGGCTCTCCAAATTGGAGGAAACAAAGAATCATATCATATCATATCATAGATGAAGCAATCATCCCATCAACATGCTTTGTGAAATGTTCTCCAATAAGCTCACGAATGTCACAGTTAAACTGTTTTAGTTATATTTTGATAAACAGTGGTAACGTACATCTACTAGTTTATCACTGTTCCACAGATGGATGACAGATAATTTCCAATAGCTCGTCATGTTTACCAAGAACGAAAGATGATTGTCCACCATTTTGAATGATACTAACTGGAGTCAGGGTCATCAAGCTATGGAACGGTGGTTTATGAAAATAGATTGGGTTACTTTAGCTTGCCATGTTAAAGGCGATTGAACTATGTTATAGAACAACTTCCAGTACATTATTATATTTAAAAGTATAAACTTTTGAAAATACATATAAAGAATCTTCGCCCGCAAGACGTGTATTTTGAATGCCTTGAGAAGAACGCCAATGTGTAATGGACCGGTGTTGCAATAGTAGCATTTAAAAATCTGTTCCTATCGAGATTTATGGTCTTCTGAAATTATACTATTAATTGGTGTTGCTGCATCATTGCTTAAATCTAGAGGAGTGTTGTTGCATCTTCGGTTTGGTGTTGTTGCATCAATAGTGAGGAATTAAAACCGCGAATTTCTCGCTTCTTGATGATGCTACATGCATACTAATGAGAGTTTTTTTAAATATAGATCATGAGCTAACTGCACGTGTATGATTATTGAGCAACTCGTCCCAGAAATGGGTTTAAATTGGGAAAACAAAATATCGTACGAAAATCTATCACCGGAAGTCTGGCCATCTTGATGCAACAACACGGTGTTGTTGCATCACGATACCCCCCAGTGAATATTAGAAAATTCCACAGTTGACTTATTGAGTAAAGCCATATTGATAGCTGTTTATGATACATACCTGCCAATCTACCATACAGGAATTTACCAAGGCCTGCTATTATCCACTGGGGGAACTTTTCAACACCACTTCGTTAGATATCAAAAGTATATGTATTAATAATACCTTTGTCAAATGAATAGTACCCTGGGTACTGGGCTCACATGGTATTGCTCAGAAAGAGAAAAGTGAATAATGGCTAAATGGCAGACAATAAAAATGAGCTAAAAAGCAGATACAAATTTTTGCCAATTCTTTTAAAATGCAAAACACCTGAAATCAGTTATAAAGCTACTGAATTGACAAAAAGTAAATTTTCCACAACTAAAATGGCAGCCATTTTGAAAATAGGCAAGCTTTTGAAACTGGACTAACAGGAGGGACTTCTGAATTAAAGAGGAACCAAAAAATAATTTAAAACAGGAATCTTATTGCCCCAGTTTTAAAACGTGCTTCTATTGTTGACTCGCTGAGAGACAAATGGACAAATCAATGTTAATTAAAATGGCTGAAAAAAAACAGATATAATTTTTTGTAACAGAATTATTTCATACAACTACTCTTTACAGTGACATGGCTTTTTACTATGCAGGACACCTGAAATTATTCATAAAGCTACCAAATGGTCCAAAAGTGAATTTTGCAAGACGAAAATAGTGGCCATTTTGAAAATAGGTGAGCTTTTGAACCAGGAGTCATAGGGGGGTTTTCTGTATTGGTGTTGAACAAAAATAACTTTAAACAGGAATCCTATCGAAAAAGGTTTTAAAACAAATGGTCCAAAAGTGAATTTCGCAAGACAGATGGACAAGTTAATGTTAACTAAAATGGCTGAAAATAAAAAAAACTGATATAATTTTTTGCCAATTTTTGTAACGAAATTATTTCATACAACTACTCTTTACAGTGACATGTTTTTTTACAATGCAGGACACCTGAAAATATTTATAAAGCTATCAAATGGTCCAAAAGTGGATATTGCGATACAAAAATGGCGACCATTTTGAAAACCGGCCAGCTTTTGAACCATTAGTCATAGGGGTTTCCTCTATTGAGGTTGAACAAAAATAACTTAAAATGAGAATCTTATCAACAGAGGTTTTAAAACAAATGGTCCGAAAGACAAAAATGAACAGAGACAAAAATGGCAGCCATTATGAAAATAGGCGAGATTTTGAACCAGGAGTCATAGGGGTTTTTTCTATATTGATGTTTAACAAAAATAACTTAATATGGGAATCCTATTGACAGAGGTTTTAAAACGGGCCAAATGTTGACAGATGGATGGACGGACGAACAGACGGACAGACAGACAGACGGATGGACAAGTGAGAGATTGCAATAACTCACTATGTGAGCTAATAATAAAAGGGTGCTTTATATTTAGTATGTGCAATTCTAGGGATTTATTGTTGTGACTCTAAAAGTCTATTTGTTTCATTTCAAAATATGAGTTTTACCTTAGCTATGTTGTCTATCTGCTGAGCAGTGGTGGCTGATATCTCTGCATCAGAGTTTGAGATTGTGCCACAAAACTGATGACAAATGTCTAGAATGTCACACATACAAAGGTAGATCTGCAAAATATGTACAATGTCATTAATACTTGAATTACAATAAATTGTTCAGCTTTCATACCAGGGTCTCCAAGTAGCCTACTGCAACATGTTATGCTTATCACTGTTCCACAACTAGTTACTTTGATGGAACATCAATGTAACAAAATGGATGGACTTCCTGGATACAAATTTTTTATTTTCTCGACTTTAATGTACGTTTAAGTCATGTTGGGGATTATCATTTTGGCAAAGTTAGACAATATAGTCTAGCTTTTAGAAATGCTCTCAGATTGAAATCTAATTTTTAAATAAAGCTGTAATTCATGCATTTAGACCATTGCTTTTGTTACATTGACGTAAGTCGTCAAAGTAACATACATTGGTAGTATAATGGACTTTTGTCTAAGTAACAAAACCGAGGGGCTAAATATATGAATTGCAAGTTCATTAACAAAACAAATTCCAAATCGAAGAAACTTAAAAACTGGACTATTAAAACTAAACTATATTTTCTAGCTTCGTGCCAAATTTTAATCTGCAACTTGACTTATAAGTAGGTTTAAATCGAGAAAACAAAAAACTTGTAACCAGGAAGTTCATCCATTTTGTTACATTGACGTTCCGTCAAAGTAACTAGTTGTGGAACAGTGCTTAAATTTCTGGAAATTTGTGAAAATATTTTTTTGTAACTAGACAACAGCCAAAGCGTAGCAAATCCCATCAAACAGCCATGGCTGGCATTTTTACAAAGTATATAGCAAAAAATGGCAGCTATTTTTCAAAATGACCACCTTCTACCACAAGTGTCATTAGACAGTGTGCCATGCTTATAGTATTCACATACCAAATTATAAACAGAATCGCTCCACTACTTTTCGAGGTATAGTAAAATAGGATAAAATGGTGGCCATTTTGGAAAATGGCCGTCTACTACCAAAAGTGTCATAAGACAGTGTGCCATGCTTATAGTATTCACATACCAAATATGAACAAAATCGCTCAGCTACTTTTCGAGTTATTTTGAAAAATGGCCGCCTTCTTCCAAAAGTGTCATTAGACAGTTTGCCATGCTTATAGTATTCACATACAAAATATGAACAAAATTGCTCCACTATTTTTCGAGTTAAAAAAAATCCTAAAATAGCGATTAAAGGCTGCCATTTTTCAAGATGGCTGCCATGTGCTTCTTTAAGATCTACGTTTCTTGCTTTATTAATGTCCTATATACTGTAATGTATTTAAAACATATTACTATTACAGTTTTACATATTATACCTAAATTACTGTAATATCGGCACTAAAATGGCCGCTATTTTTGAATGAGCAGCCATTTTGAAAATTGGCTTTCGAGCAGAACTTCTACCCCCATAGGATATACGTTTACAAAATATGAACAAAATCGGGCCAACAGTATTTCAGTTATTGCCTAGATGGACGGATGGACAGACGGACGTAAGTACGGACGTACGTATGAATGGTGATCATTCACCTTGCATCCTAAATACAGCCAAATCACACTATTCTGCATCAGTATGTTGCAAACAGGGTCAAATTTAGACATTAGAAAATCTATTAAATCAATGTATTTTTAAAAAAAATAATATGTTACCTTGATAATTTCAGAAGGATTTTAAAGTATCATTGCAGGAAAAACTTTGGACGGACGGATGCACAGATGGACGTAAGTACGGACGTACGTATGAATGGTGATCATTCACCTTGCATCCAAAATACAGCCAAATCACACTATTCTGCATCAGTATGTTGCAAACAGGGTCAAATTTAGACATTTGAAAATCTTTTAAATCATTGTATTTTTTAACAAGGCATTAACATGACAAAATGTCACCACCTTAAACAATTTGGTCAATTTAAAGCAAGTTGGAAAATACCTTTTGACCTTGAGAAGGTCATTGAAGGTCAAAGGTCAAATCTAAAGTCAGATTTGAACTTCTGAGAACTTGTAAAGTCAAATTTGAACTTCTGAAAAGATGTAGATGATTTTGAAAAAAAAATTTGGTCAATTTGAAGCAAGTTGAAAACAGACCTTTTTGACCTTTTTTGACCTTGAGAAGGTCATTAAAGGTCAAATGTCAAATCTAAAGTCAGATTTGAATTTCTGAGAACATGTAGATGATTTTGAAAAAAAAATTAGTCAATTTGAAGCTAGTTGAAAAAGACCTTTTTTACCTTTTTTTACCTTGAGAAGGTCATTGAAGGTCAAATGTCAAATCTAAAGTCATATTTGAATTTGTGAGAACATGTAGATGATTTTGAAAAAAAAAATTAGTCAATTTGAAGCAAGATGAAAAAATACCTTTTTGACCTTTTTTGACATTGAGAAGGTCATTGAAGGTCAAATGTCAAATCTAAAGTCAGATTTGAATTTCTGAGAACATGTAGATGATTTTGAAAAAAAAATTTAGTCAATTTGAAGCAAGTTGAAAAAAGACCTTTTTGACCTTTTTTGACTTTGAGAAGGTCATTGAATGTGAAATGTCAAATCTAAAGTCAGATTTGAATTTCTGAGAACATGCAGATGATTTTGAAAAAAAAATTTAGTCAATTTGAAGCAAGTTGAAAAAAGACCTTTTTGACCTTTTTTGACTTTGAGAAGGTCATTGAAGGTCAAATGTCAAATCTTAAGTCAAATCTAAAGTCAGATTTGAATTTCTGAGAACACGTAGATGATTTTGAAAATTTTTTTTAGTCAATTTGAAGCAAGTTGAAAACAGACCTTTTTGACCTTTTTTGACCTTGAGAAGGTCAAATGTCAAATCTTAAGTCAGATTTGAATTTCTGAGAACACGTAGATGATTTTGAAAAAAAAATTTAGTCAATTTGAAGCAAGTTGAAAACAGACCTTTTTGACCTTTTTTGACCTTGAGAAGGTCATTGAAGGTCAAATGTCAAATCTAAAGTCAGATATGAATTTCTGAGAACATGTAGATGATTTTGAAAAAAAAATTTAGTCAATTTGAAGCAAGTTGAAAAAAGACCTTTTTGACCTTTTTTGACTTTGAGAAGATCATTGAAGGTCAAATGTCAAATCTTAAGTCAAATCTAAAGTCAGATTTGAATTTCTGAGAACACGTAGATGATTTTGAAATTTTTTTTAGTCAATTTGAAGCAAGTTGAAAACAGACCTTTTTGACCTTTTTTGACCTTGAGAAGGTCAAATCTTAAGTCAGATTTGAATTTCTGAGAACACGTAGATGATTTTGAAAAAAAAATTTAGTCAATTTGAAGCAAGTTGAAAACAGACCTTTTTGACCTTTTTTGACCTTGAGAAGGTCATTGAAGGTCAAATGTCAAATCTAAAGTCAGATTTGAAGGTCAAATGTCAAATCTAAAGTCAAATCTAAAGCCAGATTTGAATTTCTGAGAACATGTAGATGATTTTGAAAAAAAATTTAGTCAATGTGAAGCAAGTTGAAAAAAGACCTTTTTTGACCTTGAGAAGGTCCTTGAAGGTCAAATGTCAAATCTAAAGTCAGATTTGAACCTCTGAGAACATGTAGATGATTTAGAAAAAAATTGAAGTCAGTCTAAACAGTATTTGTTAAGTTATATGAAGTTGTAAGAAATTGTTACAGACGCTGGACGCCAACCTCCAACCACCAACCGCCAACCACCAAACACCAACCGCTGTCGCAAAAAAACGGAGACCATAACAATATGTCACCACTTTTGGTGGTGACATAAAAATATAATATATAATAAGACAAAATAAAAACTGAAATCTTGAAACCTTTTTTGCCAAATATTTGTTGCACTTTGGTTTCTCATAAGTTTGTTTCTTTGGCTTTCAAAGCATTTTTATATTTTCTATGAAAGGAAAAGACTTATCTCCACTTAATGAAATACAAATTGGTAGCAGTTTACGGTCCAATGCATAGTAATAATTTTGTGCAGAACCAAAAATGAATCTAATTTCGGATGTAACACATCAGTTAAAATGTAAAAACTTTACTTTACTCAGTTATAAGTCACTTATTATCAGCCATATGCTTATATTTTATGCAGTTTTGGGAACTTTTTGTGTTTTTCTGATTAGAGTCATTTATAACAGAGGTTCTTGGGGGATGGTGCTTATTTAAGGGAAGACTCTTTCTAGGGATTGACTATACATTGAGAACTTATGCTCTGATTGGGAAATAGTAAAGTATCTTTCAATTCATTTTCATTACATCTTTCTAATTCTAATTTCTGTTACTTTCTTCCCTTTATTCTTTTCAGTTTTCTGTTGTTTATCACGATGAATCATTTTATGTTTCGATTAAAATAAGTACTTTGTGAAATGCAGAGCCTGAATAGAATGACGTATTTGTACGTGAAAATTAATTTCAAATTGGGAAGCAATTAACATTTCTGAACATTGGAATTATTTTTGCAACCCCTTGATACTTAAATCACTTATTGCTGTTTTTTCTCTTTCTTTCTGAATGAGGAATTTCTTAGGCTGTATGTGATGATTGAGATTATCAATGATCTCGGCTTTCTTTTCAGGTGTTATAGATATTATACTTTCAATCCATTTCACTGCTCTATATTTCTTCTCCAAAGGTGGAATTGTTTATATACAAGTACTATTAGTTGATGGTTGTTCGTCTTCAACATCAAAGTCCAATAAATCTGGAGGTTCACCTTTAGCAATTGTGTCCCCTTATTTTTTTATTTTTAGGGACCAGTTAGATTAATGGTACTAATCAGCTCACTTCTCAATCATATTTCCCCAATTAATGTATCCTTTATTTAAGTGATTACCGATGTGACTTAAGACAGTTTGCGAAAAATGGCAGCCATTTTAAAATTCAGCCGGCATTTTGAAAATCTTTCTTGAACAGAGCTACTGTGTCCCTAGGCATCAGCATATAAAATTTTAAAAAATACATTCACTGCTATTTGAGTTATCAAAGATTACATTTTTTACGAAAAATGGCAGCCATTTTGAAAATCTCTTCTTCAGGGTAGCTTCTTTGTCCCTAGGCATCAGCGTATAAAATTTGAACCAAATC